AGTTTCTTATTCTGTCGATAACAAAAGAAAATATTTTGAATAATATAAATGTTGAAAGCCTGTAACCATTGACTTCCATAGTAGGAAAAACAAATACTATGGAAATCAATGGTTACCGGTTTGAAACATTTTTCAGTATATCTACTTTTGTGTTCTGAATGAAAATGAAATTTGATTGCATCAACATGAACAGTTAGATGTTTGCATATGTATGGGCCAGTATAATGTATCTTTCTCAAATAAAACTGGAGTATGTTTCCATATGTCTATCCCAATGTATTTTTGTATAATGTAAATGCAAATATAGTCTTAAATACAAATTTTTATTGGCTGTTTTGCTTGATGACACGGTCAAAGTCTACATGTTTACATATTCAAAAGTGATGCATTTTTATTTAAACATATCTGGGTATTATATTCATTCATTCATTTTCCTTCGCCTTATTTATCAGGGATCGCCACAGCAGAATGAACCATTAACTAATCCGACATATGTTTTAAGCAGCGGATGCCCAGCCACAACCCAGTACTGGGAAACACCCATGCACTCTCTCATTCACACACACACACACACACACACACACACACACACACACACGCACGCACACACACACACACACACACACACACACACACACACACTATGGCCAATTTAGTTAATCCAATTCACCTCTAGCGCATGTCTTTGGGATGTGGGGGAAACCAAAGCACCCAGAGGAAACCCACACAAACACGAGGAGAACATGCAAGCTCCACACACAAATGCCAACTGGCCCAGCTGGGACTCAAACATGTGACCTTCTTGCTGTGAGGCGCCAGTGCTAACCACTGAACCACCTTGCTGCTGTATTATATTCATAATTTTAATATTATATTAAAAAACAAATAGGGGGATAATTTACAGCATGAGTTTTGTTTTTTGTTTTTTCACAGACAGCGATTTTGTGAGAGAAATATTATGTACCTGACATACACAATGCTATACTGTGAAAATTTGTTTCTGAGATGGTTGTCATACTGTGGAAATTTTAGGGAGACCATTAAAATATTGTGTTAACAGACAAAAGTTAAAATGTAGTTACTTATGTATAAACAACATAATATCCAAAGAGAAGCATCAAAAACTATCCACTGTGTATCTGTAGAGCACTATGTTCACACAGGAGAAATTGCATTTTATCTATACATTTCTAAATGTTCAATATTTTACTGTCAATAAAACAACAGGACGGGGCAACATGGTAGCTCAGTGGTTAGCACTGTCGCCTCACATCAAGAAGGTTGCTGGTTCAAGTCCCAGCTGAACCAGTTGTCCTTTCTGTGTGGAGTTTGCATGTTCTCCCCGTGTCCGTGTGGGTTTCCTCTGGGTGCTCCGGTTTCCCCCACAGTCCAAAGACATGCGCTATAGGTGAATTGAATAAACTAAATTGGCCATAGTGTATGTATGTGAATGAGTGTGTATGGATGTTTCCCAGTACTGGGTTGCACTTGGAAATGCATCCACTGTGTAAAACATATGCTGGATAAGTTCACGGTTCATTCTGCTGTGGGAAACCCTAATGAATAAAGGGACTAAGGCGAAGAAAAATGAATGAATGAATAACAAATGACCAGTTCCTTGTTCCTGTGTCATGGTCATTGGCATCTCTTAACAACACCATAATTCTTTACTTTCAATATAAGTAACTTTCTGTAGTAGTAGTTGGTGTAGCACTTGTGATTTATTATTATTGTTGTCATTTATTACTGTTGTCCTTTCTTTCTTTTTACTCTCATTTTTACTATCATACATTAGTAAGCATTGTTGTTACTCCCTACCTCTGACTGGTTTCTTTCTATATGTTTTATCCAAATCTGTGACACTTGCTTCATTTATTGACTGTTATTGTTCCTTATGTATGTACTCTGACCTGTCCACCAAGTTACCTTTACATGCATACACACACTCACACGCACATACCAGTACATGACTATATTGTTGGTGTTTTTGTTTTGTTTTTGTTTCGTTGCTTTGTATTTGTTATTTGTTGATGTTTTCTTGTATTTGTATGATTTTTGCATATTCTAATTAAAAAATAAATAAATAAATAAAAATTAAAAAAAACAACACCATAATTTCTCTATGTATGCGTTTAGGCCAGAACAGGAGGAAAATGGCCTCTGAAGTGGTACGCGCCAGAGTGCATTCATTTTCACAAGTTTTCCAGCAAAAGTGACGTTTGGAGTTTTGGCATCACGATGTGGGAGGCCTTTTCCTTTGGAGGAAAGCCGTATAAGGTAAACAGTTGATCTCGATATTACTTACAGCCAATTTAAACAAGCTGCTCATCAGACATCTATTTATTTTGTCCATGCAGAAAATGAAAGGTCCAGAGGTGATAACATATATTGAAGGTGGTAGTCGTTTGGATTGTCCTGCCGCATGTCCTGAGGCCATGTATGAGCTGATGAAAGAATGCTGGACCTACAAGTAAGCATCATTTAGTCCTGTTCACTTGTTTTAATGTATAAATTAAAATCAAAACTTATATTAACACATTCAAAAGGGAATGTGAATAACGTCTAACTGACTTTGGAATCTTTGTCTTTTTCAGGCATGAAGAACGGCTAAATTTTGCAAAAGTGGAGGAGAAGATGAGAACTTTTTATTACTCCATAGCAAAGAAGATCCCGGATTACCTGAAAACAGAGAATGGAACTCCTCCAAAGTGATATGAGGGCCAAATGGAAACATTTGTAGACAGGATAGAATGACAACAGTTTTCAGATATTTGACGTTTAAACATTATGTTTGGTAAACTATAATATATTTGTTATTTTCATGTTGTCTATCAAACTAGCTGACTGATCAATGCAAGATGCCGTTTTATATTACTGGCCTGCTACTATCAGTGCTATTAATGCTATTTGTGCTCGGTGCCTATTTAAATATGCCATATTATAGGTGGTAATCAAAAGTTTCTCTCTCGCAATAGTGTTTTAGTACATAACATCAGATTGAGGCTCTTACTCATCCATCCATTTACATTTTTGAAGAGAAAAGAGATATTTACTCAAACTTCAGGGTCTGGTTCTCTGTTAAATGTTCTGTGATTGTACTTTTGCTCTGATTTTGGTATATTGTTTTGTTCAATTTGTGTATTCAAACTATTAATTGTTTTTGTGACAATTTAGACTTTTTGAAACTGGGAAAAACTGCAAATCCAATTACAAACTGATGTTGATTTTTTGATAAATAAACATGTTGGAGCTGACTATGCATGAATTAATTATTTGAGCGTAATTATATATTTCAATAATTAAACCTGTTTAGGTGAGCACGTAGTTAAAGCCACACTGAAACACATTAAAAGTCAACTATATAATGGAGGCAGACATTAAGAGGTTAATCAGAACAGGTCATAATTATTCCTTACATTTATATAGCGCTTTTCTGGGCACTCAAAGCACTTTACACATGTTGGGGGGGAAATCTCCTCATCCATCACCAGTGTGCAGCATCCTGCACACAGCCATATAGGGCCAAACCGCACACCAGCTGATTGGTGGAGAGGAGACAGAGTGATGAAGCTAACTATGATATGGGGATGGTTAGGAGGCCATGTCAGAGACCAGGATGCTTGGAATTTTTGTCAGTACCTCAGTTTACGTTAAAGTTCCCATCAATATACTGAGGTGTTAGGACCCACACAGACCGCAGGTTGAGCGCCCCTTACTGGTCTCACTAACACCACTTCCGGCAGCAACCTAGTTTTCCCATATGGTCACGCATCCCGGTACTGACTGGGACAGCCCTGCTTAGCTTAGCAGTGAGCGACCATATGAGACTTGCAGAGAGCTAGCTGCAAGCTGCCGGTTATGGATAGGGTTAGGGTGTATTATTATGATTACTACTATAATAAAATACAACATATGGTTGATGTAGTTTGTCACATTTAAAATATTTGAATTTATTACTTGCATTATTTAATGACTTAAACCAAAATTTAAAGAGATCATTTACTCAAAAAATTTAATTTTACTCACTATTTTCCAACCCTAAAGTATTCCAAACCTTTATGAACACAAAAATTTGGAAATCAGTAACCATTGCCATCCATAGAATGTAAAACAAATACTATAGAAGTCAATGGTTACTGGTCTCCAAAATTCTTCATAGTACCTTATTCTGTGTTCAACAGAAGAAAGAAACTCAAACAGGTTTGTGACAAGTGAAGGGTGACTAACTGATGGCAGTTTTGGGTGAGCTATCTACTAACTTTCAGATTTATGGAGTGTCATACAGCACACAAATACTGCTTAAAGAAATACTCAAAAATAAAAGTATACTGTTAATTTATTCGCCTTCAGGCCATCCAAAATATAGCTGACTTGTTTTTTCTTTCTTTTTTCACATTTCATAACCAAAGATTTATATCTGAAATGTCATTGGTGTTTCACAAAATGCTAACCAAGTTAAAAAAATAAACAAAATTATAAAATAAATGCAATAAGCCTATTCATAGCTCCTGATGACACACTGAGGTATGTTTAAAGTAAAATGTTTAGTCTGTGTAAGAAACTTAGCATTATTACCTTTAATCCACAGCCGCGCCAAACAGACCTGAGCACGTTTAACCCCTTTAAATCCCTTTAAGTTACATGTCTGTGCACTAATTGACTTTCAAAAGCAAACCTCCAGGGTCACCTGAGTGCTTTTTGCAAGTACGGTGTTCAGATTGTCGCATACTGTTTGCAGCCTACTACAAAGTAGGGAAGTATGCGGTTTTGAATGCAGCCTTTCACTTGAGGGGGAAAAGTCTGCCAAGTAAAAATGCCAGTCCTTCTCCCACACACATTTGCATTTATAATTTACTGTAATATAATTTTTAAGACTTTTATAAGGTTTTTACTGTAAATATATCCACTGTGTTTGCCGTTTGGATGTTGGTGTGCATCTATAGTGTTTTCAGTACACTTCCTTCATGTTCAGAGGCAGACAGACGAGGCTCTGATGTTTCAATAGAGGAAGTGTACTTTGCTCAGCAGGGAGGGGCTTGTGCTTTCCTTAGAAAGTGTGGACTTATTAATTCCGACAGCTCGAAGGCCACGTTCATTTTAACTTTATAGCAATTACAAATACAATGTGAGTACAACAACGAAAAACGGCCCTGAATAACATCGAACAAAACTGAAAGCTGGGGAAAAAAGGCGGTTCACATCAAAGCGGAACTAGAAAAGGCGCTCGCTCGGTAAGTTTGCCTCAACTTCATTGTACACTACGAAAACATGCCTTCAACATCGTTGTTTTGTTCGTTTTGGATATACAGCGAGCGATTTTACGAGTGTTGTGTTGTTATCACACCTTTGTGCTTACATGAAAGTTGAAATAATGTGATTATAAGCCTTGGTCACGCCATTAAAAACGACGTCGTCATACGGAATTACCAGTACGAGCAACATGTTGTTTCCCTTCAGATGCTGCTGGCATCCATTCATTTTAAAACTGCATGTTTACAATATTTAAAATGCCTGTGTTTGAAATATATTCAAACATATACATATATAAATATGTGCATTAACTAAAAAAACACATATTTGAAACTTTTGCTTTTTAATGTGTAGGCCTGTTCTGTAATTAATAAACATACTCAATATCATGGGCTCATATAGAAGTTGTTGGAATCCCCCTGCCCATGCTAATAAATGCCATCAGTGCTACCCAGCAGGAAATTACTCAGCATTTCCTCTAATATTCTAAATATAAAGCCTTTGTGTACAACCTGTTGGGCAGCTGGGAATATTATTTATTGTTTGGTAAATGTGCTGCACAGCAGATTGGAATTAATCCTTGAGTTTGGAATATGAATAATGTAGGAAATGCACGCAGGAATGTAAGAATAACAATGTTGATCCAAAGACATGAAGTTATTTCAATGTCAGAAGCAGGGAAAAAATTTCAAGCACTTTTTGTGTTTCATCAAAAATGGTACCCAGTGAGAATCTTGAAATTGGTCATCACAAGTTTGGAAATATAAACTATTTTTGAAAGTGTTTTCTGCTCACATAAGCTGTGTATTTGATCACAAGTGTAATAAAACACAACATTACAATTAGTAGATCATCAATCAACATATTAAAATGATTTCTGAATGACTGCAGCGATGGCTACTGAAAAGTCATTCAGCATTTAATTACAGCAGTTAATAACATTTGAAAAAAATATTTCCATATAAAAACCAATATTTTCCAAATTTTAACTTTTTGTTTTGTTTTATTTGTTTTTTCTTTTCTTTTAAATGTATAAATCATACAAGCGGCTTTGACACAATCTACATTGTAAAAGCGCTATACAAATAAGCCTGAATTTAACTGAATATATCAGGGTGTTCGTAGAGTCTTTAAAAGTATTAAAAGCAGATAATGTAGAAAAGTTTAAGGCCCTTAAAAAGTATTAAAAAGTCTTAAAGGCTATTTTGCAAGGTATTTCTTTTTTTTTTTTTCATTTTTGATTGTGCAATTTATGGTTGTATGCTAAAGTTTGCCTGAATTAAATCTGCCAAATATCAGGATGCTGTGTAGTTTATGAAAGAAACAGTATCCATGCTGATTTGTTTACTGCAGTGATCAAGGCAAACCATTACTTCTGCTTGTCTATAGGCGCCAACCTGCTGAATTAGCTAGATTTAAAAGATTTTTATGCCGTATATGAATAATGTTTTAGTTTTGGATTAGTTTCTTACACTAATATTTGGTAAATATGCTGTAAGTTAAAATCTTGCCAGTGTTTCCAGCTGAAAAGTGGTTATAAGGTCTTAAAATGTGTGGAAAGAGTCTTAAAAGGTGTTGAATTTTACTCTCTGATTCATGTATATACTCTGTAAATGAAGCTTTGGTGAGCAACAGAAACTTCTTTGAATTTTTTTTTCTAATAATTAATTTATTTTTATCTTTCACAAACACACAGGTGCACACATAACTTTTCATTATCTGTGCAGTCTTGTTCAAAATGTTCTCCTCATAAAACCCAATCATCTGAACCAAATCATCACTCAAAAGATCTGCTAACCCTGCGAGGAGACAAAGTTTGACCTAGTTTCTTCTCCCTTTTTCTCATGCAGCATCCGTCCTTCCTCGGAGCACAATCAGTGACACTGAAAAAGCCTCCACACAATATTGTCCTTGTTTATCTCTCCTTTAATTTCTCATTTCAGGCACCCCTGCTATCAAAAGGCTCATTTTCGACACGTTACACAACAGTCTAGTCCACCATCAACCATGTCCATGGCACTAAAACAAGTCTTCAACAAGGACAGGACATTCCGGCCCAAGCGCAAGTTCGAGCCTGGGACGCAGCGCTTCGAGCTGCACAAGAAAGCGCAGGCGTCCCTAAACGCAGGTCTGGACCTGAAGCAGGCGGTTCAGCTGCCGCACGGTGAAGACCTCAATGATTGGGTGGCTGTTCACGTGGTGGACTTCTTTAACCGCATCAACCTCATCTACGGCACTATCAGCGACTCCTGCACAGACCAGACCTGCCCCGTTATGTCTGGTGGGCCGAAGTACGAGTACCGCTGGCAGGACGAGCAGAAGTACAAGAAGCCCACCGCACTCCCGGCTCCTAAATACATGAGTCTGCTAATGGAATGGATTGAGGTTCAGATCAACAATGAACACATCTTCCCCACTAATGTCGGTAAGGAATAAACCAGACAAATATATAACACTTTTTTTATGGAAGCCCAAATCTGCCTTTTAAGATGCAAGTCTGCTGGGCCAGACAGAATATGCTGACATTTTTTTTTTGCTATTTCTGCACAGAAGTTTGTAAAAAATCAGCAGATTTTTGCAGGATGATTTTGAGAGTATAGTAACTAAAAACTTTCAGTTTTAAGTTTAAAATGCTAATCCAATTAAATTACTTTGATAAACAAAAAGTTTCTCCTTTACTAAAACACTGTTTCTCAACCACATTTCTGGAGGACCAACAGCTATGCACATTTTCCATGGCTGTGTCTGAAATCGCGTACTTCCAAACTATATACTACGCTAACTACCCAGATGACTTACTACTTCCAGCGAGATTCTAAAGTGCGCATCTGATGCACGCTATGCTATCCCATGATGCCCCGCGAGAGAATTCATGAAAGGGAGTGAAGCGATGCAACTGATGTAGGGATGTAGTACATCTGAGTTAAATTCATACTTCGCACATTCATGCTGTATAGAACATACTTTTCTAACGGTCGAGTAGTACATTTAAATTCAAATCCAGTGCCTACTGAGTAGTAGACGATTTCGGATTCAGCGCATGCTTATTATCATCAGCTTATTAGCAGAAACTGAAAGACCTGTTATTGGTGTAAAAAACAAAGACATTAAAAAATGCAGTGTTGGTGGCCCTCCAGGAAAGGGGTTGAGAAACACTGTACTAAAAGAACATATTACTTTAAAAACTCTATTGTAAATAAATCATAAACATTTGCATATTGTTCAATAATGTTACTGAAATTGATATAAAAACTGAAAATAATATATAAATGTACACACATTCACATAAGTTAATAAATAGATTTGATGGGATGAAATGTCTATGGATTTCTGCACACGCAGATTCCATGTAGGCATAAACTACACCAGGGGTCACCAATCTTGGTCCTGGAGGGCCGGTGTCTCTGCAGGGTTTAGCTCCATCTTGCCTCAACAAACCTGCTTGGATGTTTCAAGTATACCTAGTAAGACCTTGATTAGCTTGTTCAGGTGTGTTTGATTAGGGTTGGAGCTAAAATCTGCAGGGCACCGGCCCTTCAGGAACAAGTTTGGTGACCACTGAACTACACAATGCAGATTATGAATACTGAATGTTGTACTTATTTTGCAAAAGGTTTAGCTATTAGTTACCTGTCATTCTGCTAATGAGGCAAGAATTTGCATGCATTTTAACATATTTACAGTTCATTATATCCTGTGTTGTGTCCTGTTCAATGAGCTTGCCATTCATAATTTAATAATCTTAGAATAATTTAGAATTTGACTTTTTAAAGTCGTAATTTCAGCTTTTTGTCTAAAATGGAGCAATAGGCTTCCATACTTTTAGACAGAGGTGCACTTGGACAAAATTTCTCAACTGACCCTGTTAAGTTGGTGGTTTTGCATTTTATACAATTAGTTTTTAAATGGTAATAATTTCAAAATTTTGAGAGAAATTCAAAATTATGTTTCAGAGTCACTGATCTCAGTCATAAACAGAAAATATTAAGGGCTCGCAAAATCTGGTAACCCAAAGTCACAGGGCTATTGTTTTTTTTTTTTCCAGTTAGGCTACCTAAATCTATCTACTGCTGGGCACATTGTAGATAGATTTTGGTTGCCTGACTGAAAAGTCCTTTAGGCTACTAGGTTTTGCAAGCTAGGTTTTGTTATTAACTGTACATTTGAATTATTTGCAGCCCAAAAACTAATTTTTTAACATTTAATCTTTATACTTTGCTACTGTCTTTCTAATCTTCTTTGTATTACAACATTTTCAGCAAGTCTGAAAGCTTTTTTAAGCTTTAAAATGTAATAAAGTGTAGTATAATCAATTATTATTAGGTTAAACACCTAGCAGAATGTGTTTTTTACATGAACATATGTTGTTTATGCTTGATGACGAAACCTATTTACCCAAATTTTGGCTTTTTTTTTCACAAAAGTTATTTGAAACTTCAGGGTAGACCATTAACTTGGATATATTGCTTTCTGTGCATATAAATTCACTTTAAAAAATGTATTGATACAGAGACACCAAAATATGACGTCTCACTTTTGACCCACATATAGTTTGCATTGATTTTAATTTATTTGTACATAAGTTAAGTTGCACTTAATAAAGATTAGAATGATTGACTTGGCAAAATGCTAAAATGAAATATCAGTTGTAGTAAACTACAAGTTTAACACACACAAACTGTTTTAAAGTGTTTACATACCCTTGTCTATTGTTAACATTTATTCCTGCTCACACTTCTTAATACCACTTCATTTGATGCAATGTAGTGCAGTGTCATTCAAACTTTGTGGCTTTGTTTGTTTGCCTCAGAGGCACGCTGTGTATTTTAGTCTAAACCTAAGCCTTCATAGGCCATCAGAGTGAGCTAAGCAGAAGACATTTGACGACACTTCCTGTGTAGTATGCATGTCTCAATATGGACATCACGTAGGTCATCACATAAAAAGCACTTGTTGACAGTTTCCCAGAGCATTTAAATGGATATTTCACCCAATAATGAAAACAAACTCAATTTATTAATTACAAAGTGGTTCCAAACTTGAGTTTCCTTGTTCTGTTGAACAATTTAGAAAAATATGATTAACCAGTAGCTATTGATATCCATAGGAGAGAGAAAAAATATCTGTGTTCAACATTTCAACTTTTTTGCTCAATAGGAAAAAAAGATGTTGATGTACAAAATCAATATAGCCAAAAAGGTTTCACAATTACATGACAAAAACGATCATGTATGCTTCCGCAAAAACATACAAATATTCATTTTTCATATGCCAGGCCAGTATTTGGTGTTGTCACCTTGTTAGTTAACAGTAACTGTAGGGAACTGATGATGTGCCATCTGTGGCTTGGCACTGATGTGTTTTTTTGGATGTTGTCTCCACTGTTGGTTGTAAAAGTTCTCACTTTGCTAATGAAGCGTTAGCAAACACTTGAGCAGCAACACTACCGCCGTTGTTTTGTGTTTGTTTGTGCTTGCCTTTAATGTAAATGTCCTTAAACACATGCTATGTACGCGCATGACATCTTCATTTTTGAAGACCCTTGCTTTTGTGTGTTAACATAGAAATGATAAAATATGTTTTAAAAAGCATCCACTTTGAAACCTGTTTTCAGATTTAAGCTTTTTTTTCAGTCACAAAAATGCTGTTGTTGGGTAAATAAAAAAAAAATTATACAAATTTGCCCGTTTTTGCCTAAAACTTTGTGTAAATGGCCAATCAAACAGATTTCAAGAGTTCACACTTAGCTGATAATCAATAAAGCGTATTTGGCATGCTGTCCCGGGAGAGAGCCCTGAGCTCGTAATATCCTCGAGCCTGGGGCTCCCTCTCGTTAGAAGGGTGAGAGGGGAATTCGAGGTCAGGTAGGTCTCGAGAACTCCCCTGCTTGTCACCGTGAGAAGTGTAAACTAAGGTTGTATTTGGTCGGATAATTTGTTTTAGTCGATTGGCTATGGTTTATGTATTTGGACGGTGGGAGGAAACCGGGGAACCCGGGAAAACCCACGGGAACATGGGGAGAACATGTAAAATCCACACAGAAACACCAACCGGCCTGATGGGTTGGACCGGCGGTGTTCTTGCTGTGAGGCAACAGTGCTAGCCACTGGGCCACCGTGTCGCCCGATCAGAAAAAGTGGGAGGATGTAGGGGTGGAAAGGGGGGAGCTTCAAGACGAAGATAACTGGAGTGAAAAACTCAGATTATTTATAATGCTTCCGTAATCATCTAATTGGGCTGATTACGGAACTAACAAGGAGCCAGCCGTGTTAATCATAAGCACGTGATCCTCTCAAAATTAGTTTATGAATAAACCGCACTTCGAGGAGGAAAAAAAATCTGATTTAATTGTCACAAATGACTAAACCACAAGTCTAGATGCAAACTTCAGCAAACATCAGGATGGTCGTCTGCTGTGCTTGACTTCCCTGGCTTTGTCTCATTATCTTCAACTTCCCATCAGACATCAGTAGTGCCTTTCAAATTGGGTCACACAATTTACACTGGCTTATAAATAGATCTGGTCTGCATAGGATTCTTAGAATGCAGAGACACAGTCGGAGAATCTGCCGTCTATAAGGACATGCTCGTCTGCATAGATGGACTCTATTAATAAACGGCACTCTGGAAATCTGATTCTGCGATTTATAATGTGTTGTAGCACGTGTTTTAGCACGTGTCGCAGTAGCTAGGACGTGCAGATGAGAAAAGAAGATATTAAGAGCCCTTCCTCTCAAGATTTGTTTCCTCTGATGGTGTCAGCAAGCTCAACATGACTTCTCAGTTCTGCCTTTAATCCACAAATAGCCTCTTTGATGCTGTTTCATATGCTAGAAACTGATAAGGGTGCAAACTAAGCCACAATAAGAGATTAACTCTCATGAGCATATTTTTTTTATTAAGATTGATGTACAGCATTTTAAAGTGTCACTTTATCAGTTTGATACATCAGTGTTGAATAAAAACAATACTTCATTAATCTTACTGACTTGAATGTACTTTTGTATTCCCATAATGTACATTTTAGTTACAATTAGTAACACTAATTTAAGTGATTTTTGCATTTAAACACAATAGCCATTCATTCATTCTCTTTGTGTGTGTTTTGTTTTAGGTACGCCCTTCCCTAAGACCTTCATGCAGGTAGCAAAGAAGATCTTGTCTCGTTTGTTCCGTGTTTTTGTCCATGTCTACATCCACCACTTTGACCGTGTGAGCCACATGGGAGCGGAGGCCCATGTCAACACCTGTTACAAACATTTCTATTACTTTGTTACTGAATTCAACCTCATAGACCACAAAGAGCTGGAACCTCTGGTAAGCATATGATGCATCAGAAATTGCTTATTAAAATATTGTGTATATGTTTATAGGAAAGCCTAACTTCTACAGGATAATACAAATTATCTGTAGTAAAAGTAGTATTAGCTGTAGTTTAAAAAAAACTTAAGGAAACATATATATATATATATATATATATATATATTAATGTGTTCTATAATATATCAGCAAATCAAAATGTGACATTTTATTATATTAATTTTTTTGTAAACAAAACATTTTATCTGAAGTAAAATACTATGTTGCGTTGTATGAGCTGTAAGTACTATAAGAAAAAAATGCTCTATGAAAAGAAACAATATTTTTTATCTTTATCTGCCACAACATGGTACATGATTAAATTCAGTTAGCTGTATAAAAAAGAAAAGAAATTATTAAATTAGAACAGATTATATGTAATACTATTATCTACATTAAAATGCCACTAGTTAACATTGTCTAAGATTCTAACAGGCAGACATACACTCACTGGCCACTTTATAAGGTATTGTCCAACTGCTTCTTAATGCAAGTTTCTAATCAACCAATCACATGGCAGCAACTTGATGCATTTAAGCATGTATACATAGTTAAGATGATCTGCTGCAGTTGAAACCGAGCATCAGAATTGGGAAAAAAGGTGATTTAAATGACTTTCAACGTGTCATGGTTGTTGGTGCCAGACAGGCTGGTTTGAGTATTTCAAAAACTGCTCATCTACTGGGATTTTCACGCACAACCATCTCTAGGGTTTACAGAAAAGCAGTTCTGTGGGTGCAAATGCCTTGTTGATGCCAGAGGTCAGAGGAGAATGGCCAGACTGGTTCAAGCTGATAAAAAGGCAACAGTAACTCAAATGACCACTTAAAGCCGAGGTATGCAGAAGAGCATCTCTGAACACACAACACATCAAACCTTGAAACAGATGAGCTACAGCAGCAGAAGACCACACCAGGTGCCACTCCTGTCAGCTAAGATCAGGAAACTGAGGCTACAATTTGCACAGGCTCACCAAAATTGGACAATAGAAGATTGGAAAATGTTATCTGGTCTGATAAGTCTCGATTTCTGATGCGATGTTCAGATGGTAGGGTCAGAATTTGGCGTCAATAACATAGAAGCATAGATCCATCCTGCCTTGTAACAACTGTTTAAGCTGGTGGTGGTGTAATGGTGTGAGAGATAATTTCTTGAAACAATTTGGGCCCATTAGTATCAATTGAGCATCGTGTCAATGCCACAGCCTACCTGAGTATTGTTGCTGACCATGTCCATCTCTTTATGACCACAGTGTACACATGTTCTGATGGCTACTTCCAGCAGAATAACGCATGTCACCATGTCAACAAGTGCGGATCATCTCAAACTGGTTTCTTGAACTTGACAATGAGTTCACTCTACTCAAATGGCCTCCACAATCATCAGAACTCAATCCAATAGAGCACCTTTGGGATGTTGGGGAACGGGAGATTCGCATCGTGTATCCGACAATCTGCAGCAACTATTTGACGCCATCATGTCAATTTAGACCAAAATCTCTGAAGAATATTTCCAGTACCTTGTTGAATCCAGGCCACGGAGGATTAAAGCAGATCTGAAGGCAAAAGGGGTCCCACATGATATTGTACCTAATAAAGTGGCCAGTGATTACTTGCAGCACTCGTGCATTTGTCTTTATATACAGTAGTCAATATTTAAGGTGGATCAAAAAAAGTTTTTTAGAATTATCCCAACACTAGAATAAGTGTTATTCAGTAGCTTTACTACAACTTTAAAATTTTTTGATCCGCTTCAGATGTTGTCTACTGTATGTGTGTGGCTTTATAAACGGGTCAGAGTAAGTTCCCATAACCTGTTGCGAGGAAACAAAGAGCTACAGAAACAAGGGCTAATTCTTCGACTCGTGATTAGCAGCTAACGAGCCCATTTTATAACGTCTTTGCTAATTAGTAGGGCCGCGCTAGGACAGAATGAGTCAGCAGGTTTGATATTCCAGCCTCTATCATTTTCTCACCGGCGGTTAATGAGCGTCTGAGCCTCTAAGGCAGAAAAGCCTTCGGTCTATAGACACAGTTGAACTGATGCCGTGGGATCAGGTGACACCGCAGGTCCTGTTACTGACATCAGGAGCACACCGGCTGTTTGCATAAAGCCTCGCCAACGTTTTTTACATCTGTAGAGGGCATGTATAAAGAGATGATGAGCTTAAAATAAACACAACTTATTTAAATATACAGTAATGGTCACAAATATTAAAAATACATCTGCTTCATCCTGTTTTCAATTCAAAAGAAGCACAACCTGGCCAGAATTATTAAAAGTCTTATTTTTCTATTCGTATTTCTATTTCGTCAGCAGTTTTTTCACACTGTGTGCCGATAATTTTGACCATGACTGTAAAAATTAATAAGAAGTTGCATTTAGAGACGCTTTTGTTTCAGATTCGAGTCAAACCAGTGTCTATTTTTCCCCAACAGAAAGAGATGACATCACGGATGTGCCACTGAAACCCCGAGCAGACCCTTTACATTCCAGACAGATCTGAACCATGCAACTGTACAATTTAAAAGCGGATTAAACATCAACCAAACTCCTAAAGACTTTATTTTTATATGCTTTTAAAGTACTGTAATATTCTGTTTCGAGAGAGAGGCCTGTACATCTCTCTGTATTCTCATGTGTAGGCTTATGGAGAGTATTTTTTTTTTAGAAACCAGTGTTATCTGACTTTTTTTTTTTTTTGTCTTTCCTAAATTTGTTCTGAATCATTCCTGATAATCTTTAGCATACAGAGTATATTTGACTATTTATGTATGTGGTTGAGATATTAAACCCACTTCATCTTGTCTATGTCATTGGTTCTGTTAATTTGTCATGTTTTTGTCATTAATTCTGACTAAAACATGGCGAAATGGTATGATTTTAATGTCTAACTACTGTAAGCGTTTAAAATATAATTCAGTACAACATGCTTGCTGTTTTATTTACTCTGGCTAAGTTGTGGATGTTTTACACTTGCATGTCTTAAAAGGATAGTTCTCCCGAAAAAATGAAATTTGATGTTAATTTACAGACCCCCAAGCTGTAAAAATGTTGATGATGTTTATTTTTTAAAGTATTAAAGAAGACTGAAACTGTAGCAACTGGTGATTCATAACACGCGAGCCAACAGCTTTTAATCAGAGTAAAAAATAAAACAAAAACATACAGAGACTAACAAAACAAACAAATTCATTCTCATCATTTCTGAAAAGGTCTCGACCTCAATCCCTGGAGGGCCACAGCTCTGCATAGTTTACATCCAACTCACCTGGTTAATAGTCTGTAGTAGTCAAGAACACCTTGATTAGTTGGATCAGCTGTGTTTGACTGAAACTGTGCATAGCTGCGGCCCTCTGGGAATCGAGTTTGTCATATGAAGCAAATAGTTGAACCCGAACATCTCAGTGTATCCAGCTTAATCTTACGATGAAACATATTTTTTTGTCATTTTAGTAGCTAATTCGTACAAATTCAGTCGTAAGAAAATGTACGATTTTAAAAAGGAGGTGTGGCACCCTAGCCTACCCCTAAACCCAACCGTTATTAGGGGATTAGCAAATCGTACTAAATTTTACGAATGCGATCGTAAGAATTCATATGAATTAGCCACTAAATCAAAACTTTACGAATTGCCGTGAGATTGTGTAGGTGTATCATGAGCCAAAGGTAATAGTTTTTGTTTTTTCTGTGTTTGTTTAAGCTCTCGCCATAGCCACCAACTTGTATTTTATGTGAATCACCAAGGATTAAAGTTTCAGATAAAATTTGTTTTTTAAAGTCCAAAATTTTCCTTTGAGCATCATTTCTTCATAGCAAACTAATGGTAAGATGAGTGTGGTTAAGGATATTAATACACAGTTGCTATGAAAGCCCTTAAGTTGACCTTAACAGAAGGACCGCCACTTCAAAGGAGGAAGCAAAGTTTAACTACTGTAAGCGTTTAAAACATATTTCAGTACAATATGCTTGCTGTTTTATTTCCTCTTGCTAATTTTTGGATGTTTTACACTTAAGGGTCTTAAAGGGATAGTTCTCCCAAAAATTGAAGGTTTATGTTAATTTACAGACCCCCAAGCCATGCAAGGTGTAGATGATGTTTATTTTTTAGTGAAGTATTAAAGAAGACTGCAACTGCAGTCAACAACTTTCTTTCAGAGTAAACAAGGAAACAAAAACATACAGAGACAAAACAAATGAACAGTCGTCATTCCTGAAAATGGATTAGGGTCTTATGAGACACATACTGTTTGATTGTTGTACATGAGCGGTAATAAATGACCCCGAATTACTGTCTGACTTCGTAACATCTCAGTGTTTGCAGGCTGATCTCACGATGAAACGTGACTATTTTATGTTTTGTCAGTTTAGTGGCTAATTCGTGCGATTTTTATTATTTATTTATTTTATTTTTAGGGAGGCGTGGAATCAACCCCACCCCTAAACCCAACTGTCATTGGGGGATTAGCAAATCATACTAAATTGTCCGAATAAGATAGTAAGAGTTCATATGAATTAGCCACTAATTCAAAAAGTTACAAATTGCCGTGGGGTGGCCGGTTGTTTTGCCTGGATTTTTTAACTCCCGTTTTAGCCACTATCTTGTATTTTATAAATCACCAAGGATTAAAGTTTTAGCTAAAACTTGTTTTTTTAAGTCCAAAATTTTCCTTTGAGCATCATTTCCTCATTGCAATCTAATGGAAAGATGGGTGTGGCTAAGGGTATTGATATACATTTGCTATGTAAGCTCTCAAGTTGACGCCACTAGTAAGGAGGAAGAAAATTATAGAAAATTAACTAAACAAACTTTTTTCTCTGTGATTTAACTTGAACAGATGAATTATTCATTTTAAGAATAATATTGGAAGCTAGCATAAATAAAGATTGTAAATTTTGATTTCACCTGACCTATGTTGTTCTACTTTTTGAGAGTGAGTTTTATAGCCAATTATATTTTGGGGTGAACTAACCCTTTAAATGGAAGATTATCTATTTCTGGTTTTGTATCAGTCTCATTTTCTAAGCTTTCTCATACTCTTCACAATTAAATCCATAAAACAGATTTCTGACAGAAATTATGGTCTGCAGATTTACAAAAACAAATCACATTTGTACCACTTGTTCAAAGCCTGAGTTTCTTCTGCTGAACAAAAATATTGTTCCTTGGCACCCAATGACTTCCTTTTATTTCCTTTACTATCGAAGTCGATGGGTGGTAGCTACCAACATTCTTTAAAATATCTTCTTTTGTGTTCAACAGAAGAAAAAAACCTAAAGGGGAAAATCACGTGAGGGAAAGTCAAGGATGAGGTCATTTTCATTTTGTGGTGAACTATCCCTTTAAATCCACAAGATGGCGATAAAGACACGTCACAAAAAAGCCTGGATGATGAAATGTTGCATTACCTCGACTTCAGTTCACCAATGTCAGAAAATATTTTAAAACTAGGTCCATAATTTGGTTATGCAAGGGGCTTTCGTTTTAAACAAGGCCCTTTTATAATTGTCCTTTGCTTAGCGTTTTAACTACGGCTAATGCAACGAGGTTTACATGGATCTTTGCTCTACTAGCCTTTATGCTGATTAAGTGCTGAGTTGCACGCTTAGAGGAAATGGTTATTTCCCATCGGTTTGTTTTGGTGGTGAAATCGTTAACTGTTAATCGAGCTCCACCCTTGACTTCTGCATCACCTCTGGATGTCGCAATCCTCAGTCTGCCCGTTCCAGATTTTTCCGGCAGTTTCTGCATTATAATGAGGGGGCGGGGTTTAGTATCGTGCAACACTGACGTCGAACTCTGCAACAACAACAACGTCAAGCCAGTTTGTATGTGCATGTTAAAGCAAATATATTGTGATAAATAATAATAATAAAACTTTGTTAAGAAGCAAAATTAGTTTATTTATTTAATTATTATACAGTTGCAATCAGAAATTTTAAACCCCCTTTGAATTTTTCTCTTTTTTTAAATATTTCCCAAATGATGGGTTAGGGTTAGAAAGACCAACAGAGCAGAGCAAGGAAATTTTCACATAATATTTTTTCTTCTGGAGAAAGTCTTATTTGTTTTATTTCGGCTAGAATAAAATTTTTTACTATAAAAAAAAAAAAAAACATTTTAAGCCTCTTCCAAGTATATTTGTTTTCGATAGACTACAGAATAAATCGTCGTTAAACAATAACTTGCCTAATTACCCTAACCTGCCTAGTTACCCTAATTAACCTAGTTAAGCCTTTAAAGTGTCAAGTGTCCTAGAAAACATCTAGTAAAATATTATTTTCTGTCATCACAAAGATAAAATAAATCAGTTATTAGAGATAACTTCAGTTACTAAAACTATAATGTTCAGAAATGTGTTGAAAAAATCTTCTCTCCTCTTAAACAGAAACTAGGGAAAAAAATAAACGGGTGCTAATAATTCAGTGGGTTTAATAATTCTATATGGGAAGTAGTGCCATGTATACAAACAAAAGTAGTCCAATGATAAACCCAACATTTGTTTAAAATCGATCTTAAGCATTATATTGAAATCCTAAAAGACATTAGAAATAAAAAAGCTATAAGGATGTATGCCATTTTGGAATAATTTTCTAATGTGAATTTTAATTATCCAATTATATATATTTAAATATTTTATTGTTTAGTTTTTTTTTCTGTTGGTTTGTTTCTTTAATGTTAAAGTGTTAAGTTCACTGAAAAAAAAAATTTCAAAGAAGATTCCTTGGAGTTACTCAGTTTTTTTAAGGTAAGTAGATGTAAACAATGTATTTGGGCTGAATTTAAACTAACAAATGAAGTTGAACATTACAAAATTTAATTTGTTTGTTTAAATTCAAAGCATATAAATTGTTTGCAACAATTCTGTAGTTTTTTTATTACACTGTATTAATTTGTATTTTATAATGTTTTATCGTATCTATTGTTCTTTTTATGCAAAAAAGTGCGTGTTAAAGCCCATTTCCAATGCCAAATATTAAGGTTCAAGCCAAATCATATTAGCATAGAAAAATAGATACATTACCAAGAACTTTTAAAATGTACATTAAACACTTTCATAAACAAAGCTACAACGCAAATTATAGTTAGCTTAACTGCTAAAAATTGTACAGAAAATCAGAGAACATCACTACTACCGAGAGTTCTATGACAAAAAAGTTTACTAAAGCTTTTATTACTGTAGATATTTTACAATAATTTAATAAATAATACATTTTAAATAATTAGCTGTATAACTTTACATGCAGCATTGAACAAGTTGAAATTTTACTGGAAACAATGAGGTACTTAAAGTAAAAGATACTATGAATTATAAAAACTGTTTCAGTATCTTTTGAGACCAAGAGATTTAATAGGCTACTTTTTAAAAATAAACTGGTGAAACATTTGCAACAACTCACACCAGGCTTAACCCAAACTAATAAATAAGTAAAACTGTAAGACAAAACCCTGTTGAATACTTGCAAAGGTTTTATTTTACCATCTTATAAAAATACTCTTCTCTAAAGTTGTAACTTTTTATTCATATTTGAAGTGAGAACATTTTATGTATCGCTTTACAACAATTGCTGTGTGCATATTTGCATGTTTTCAGGACAAAGCACTAACAAAATGATGGCAAATTGGTAATAGCTACTACAATGAATACTGCACACACTATGTGCACTTGCTGCTACTGCACTCCTGCGTTTCGTTACCTTGTTCTTGCACATGTGTAATGACAATAAAGTTTAATCTTGTTTGGTCTAATCTAATGTAAATCAAATATCTTAATTATCTATATAAAACAGTGTGTCAACAATTGATTTACATAATAGACTATAGGATAACTGCTGCATAAACTCTCCATACTGTAAATATATTTATTTTGATAGAGAGGTTATGTCGTGTGTTGCATCAGATTGAACACAACACTTCTGCTGCCTGTTACA